AAGAGCTCGGCATGAAGCACATGAGAGACATGATCCACTGTCGATTTGACAAGGACTTCATCACCTTCCTGCACCGGCGGTCGTCCCCCTTCAACATCTTCCGCCACGCTGTCACCAAGACGAACTGCCGCAACTGGGACACGTGCCTCACCATCCCCAGGCTGACGGGGGCGTGCAGGGCGGAGCCAACGAGGATCATGAAGGTATGAGGAGATGGGGGTGTGAGGGGAGATGAGGAGAATGGGAGAAGAAACGGACAAAAATGCAAAATGTAGGCCTATTTTCGTCAGTTGGTGGCAAAACTACGCTGGTTCCCTTATCCTTGATTCTGAGGTGAAGCGAATAGCCCACATCTTTTTTCTTCTTCGTCGTCGTCTTCTCCATCTTCTTTTCTTTTCTTTTCTTCTTCCTTTTTTGTCACTGACACTTGAGTTATGATTACCCTTAAGAGAAATGTCCGCTCCAGGTGATACGTCTGCGCGTGGCTTGGATGAAGGAACTGCTGGACGACCCGCGGTATGACGTGAAGGTCGTCCACCTGGTGCGCGACCCCCGGGGATCCCTCTACTCCATGGCCAAACTCCACCTACACAAGCTCATGCCGGAGTACCACTGCCCCCTCATCTACGACGACCTCGTGAACGGCCCGAAGTTCATGGCCGAGTACCCGGGGCGCGTCATCTCCGTCACCTACGAACAGTTTTGCCTCGACCCCGTTGGTCAGTCTGTCTCCCTTTTGCCGTGCGTTCAGGCATGTGTATCTCTCAGCTGTTCTCTCGCAAGAATTGCCAGCGGGTATGCATGCCCGTGGCCCCGTTATGAAAGTAGTATTTTTTTTACGTGTTTATTTATATATTTTCTCTGGGTATTGGATCTGTTACCAATACAGTGCTTTATGGTGCACTTACCGCAATATATGGCCTTTTGTAATATTTCTACTCGTATTCGCTGACAATACTGATATCAACGTGTGTTGTGCATTGGAGAATCATAAATTACTATGGATGGATACTACACGCATGCAAGCTAGGCTGTGTTTCATATCGTACCTCTCTTTCTTTCTTTCTCCTCTCTCTCTCTCTCTCTCTCTCTCTCTCTCTCTCTCTCTCTCTCTCTCTCTCTCTCTCTCTCTCTCTCTCTCTCTCTCTCTCTCTCTCTCTCTCTCTCTCTCTCTCTCTCCTCTATCTCTTCTTGTTCTCTCTTTCTCTTGCTATCTCTCTTGTTCTCTTTCTTTCTCTTGCTATCTTTCTTGTTCTCTTTCTTTCTCTTGCTATCTCTCTTGTTCTCTCTTGCTATCTCTTTTGTTCTCTCTTTCTCTTGCTATCTCTCTAGTTCTCTCTTTCTCTTGCTATCTCTCTCTCTTGTCCTCTCTTGTTTTCTCTCTCTCTTGTCCTCTCTTGTTTTTTTCTCTCTGTTTTCTCTCTCTCTCTCTTTCTCTTGTGTTTCTCTCTCTCTCTCTCTCTCTCTCTCTCTCTCTCTCTCTCTCTCCTCTCTCTCTCTCTCTCTCTCTCTCTCTCTCTCTCTCTCTCTCTCTCTCTCAGTAGCTATTGAAGTTCACATTCTGCCAACAGAATGTGGATAGTTTTGTCAATAATGTTTTTTCAGTATTCAGATAATATTGTCAATGCTCGTTTAACTTTTTTCATCGAACTGCGAATGTAGTATTCCCCTGCAAGTGACTCAAATATTTACATTGCATTCGTCAGTCAACCAACGTGTCAACAGTGCACTGGCGTTCTCAGACATCATTCATGACCCCCATTCATGCCGTCGCCTTCTCTCCCTCGCAGGCACAGCAACACGGGTGTGGCGAATGCTCTCCGGGGACGAAGGGGCGTCGATCCCCGCCATGTGGTCGGAGTACATTGAAAAGCACGTTCATCGCACTTCCACCAGACGCATCGCCGCCTACGGGACCTTCCGAAACAGCGCCGAGCAATACCAGTCCTGGCGTGACAACATTACGGAAATTGCGTTAACGAGTATCGAGGAGCACTGTCAGCCCGCGTTGGAGCTTCTAGGGTATAACGTCTTCGGCGATCTAAAGACGACGAGGAACCTGTCCGTGTCTCTCTTCGCAAACTGAACGAGTCGAAGCTTCGAGCTCGGGTTCGCTAGGGTCGGAAAGCCTTCCAGTTGTTCTTCGGGTAATGTTTCGCATACTTGCGCGTCTCGGGTTACGGCGATAATGGTACCTATAGCTTCCTGTCGCCCAATATTGTTTGCATATAGAGGGATAACTGTGGCATCCCCCGTTTCTATAATCCACAATATCCGATAATAGTGGAGGGCCTCAGGGATAACTGGAAAACTGCAGATGAAATGTAAAGGAAGACGAGTTGTACGCAATGTATACACGGGAAAGGTCAGCAGTTCACCCACTGCAGGAGACCACGCCCCCTGTAATCCGCCTTAAGGTGAGCTACCAAACCCCAGGGGAGACAAACAACGTCCATCGCAGGATGGAGTGTAGGGCCATCTCGAGATTACACTAGACTACTACTACTAACTGCTATAATTCTGAAGGCTGCGCCCCCTGCAACGACGAAAGTATATCACTGCACTGGCAGGCGCCCTGAGGCCGAACCTGAAAGAAGGCAAAGGAGGGCGAGCCGAAGCCTGTTTCAAAAGAAAATATCCAGACGCGAGTTGCGGATTGCAGCCAGTGTAGTAATAAACAAAGTTGACATTCGGCTTTTGAGGACTCAGAAAATTGGGTTTCCATTGAACTAGGAACTTGAAAATTCGGACCCACTCCTTAGATGTCAACAAGGGTTCAGAATTCCGGAAAGATTGGCCCTTTACTTTCGGAGCTACAGCGGGGGCCCATCGCACTATAATTCCGTAAAGAGGGATATATATATTCTTCCTCTTCTTCCTAGGTGGTATTAGAAAGCTCTTACTGAGTAGACAAAATTATCATGATAAAATTTAATTCCAACATAAAAAATTGGAGTAATGCCAGCATTGTTAACAATAATTACAAACATAATATACCAAAATGGCAGAAATTTAACAAAAAAAAACAAATGTTTGATTTGATTACCCGGGGCCCAACTTCGAGCTACGGGTACTGCACTAGCCTGCCGTTTCCACTGGCCATTGGATATCGAATACAAATCAGGCAGAATTAACTGAGCTTGTGTTTGTGACAGACAGGCATGCAAACAGAAAGACCGTGATGGAGACTGATTGAGCATGTTAAGCAGAGACACAGACGAAGCCTGATTGACTGTGTCTTTCTCTCTCTGTCTATTAGTCTGCCTGTCTGTCTTTCTGTTTATCCCTCAATTTATCTGCCTGTCAGTTTGACTGTTTGATCTATATAGATTACAAAATGCGATAATTAAGAGGCCCTTCCACTACCATCAACTATGCTATGTCCTGCTGTGGATTAAAATTTTCAGTTGAACACGGGGTGGGTGAGATATCCAATGGCCGGTGGGAAAGGCAGTTAGTGCAATCTCGATGGCTCGAAGTTGATCCCCGGGTAATCTAACCATATTTATTTGCTTTTTTTTTTCTTTTTTTTTAATTGTATTTATACATTACTAACACACACTACAGGCCTGTCCACACGAGCGAGCACGGTCGGCGGGCACAACGTCGGCTTCCTGTAAAGGCGCCCGACCTTGTGCCCGGCGGAAATACATATAACCGTACAGAAAATACCAGTCTCTGATACTAGATGTCGTGTAATATCACATCATAATCATGTACTGTGTTCAGTGCCATCTACTGAGTGAGCAGAACACTAGTGGTATGAGTTTCCCTTCTGGAGGAAGACGCGGGAAACGACCACAGTAGCAGTTCTAGAAGCCGTAAAGAGGGCAGCACAAGGGGTAGGCTACACCCAGTCACTCAGGGACTTTAAGTGAGAAAAGAGCAGTAACTGTGAGGCTCTCCTTGAGCTGCCGTGTTCTTGGTCTGCTGCTGATGGAGAGGGCCAAGTAGGTAAGGTGGACTGAGCACGATGAAGTCCGGTGCGACAAGGATGCGGATTGGGGGACGGTAGCCCTTCTTAGGGGGGGAGTGGGGGCGCAGCTCCCTGTAATACATATATATCTCTCCATATGTTTCACTGCATATTGCATATTTCCCTTCATGTTCTACCCCAAAATTTTCCTGACAAACCCCACGCACTCTCCTACTACTATCTGAAGATATGGGGCAGGGGCGTCATTTTGGCTTTTTCTTGGTTGCGGGGGGGAGTTAAAGTTAGAACTGTCAGTTTCTGGGGCGCCTCCTCTCCAACAGGCAATTTTTGGAAAAGGAACATTTCTAGTTGCATTTTTAAGCTACCACCAGAGCTGTAAAGGTGTAATTTAGGGGGGAAATCGTGGGAGCGTAGCCCTTGAGGAGACAAGGGCAGGAGTGGGCAATTAATTTTTACAAGGGGCTACATGAGAAACCTGAATTGTGTCACAGGGCCACACCAACGATAACGAACTTAATTCTACTCAACCTTCTTCCATTGTAAAATGCACTAAATCATATATTTAGTCCATTATATATTCACAAAGGGCCGGATGTGGCCGGGCGGGCTGTAGTTTGCCTAGGTCTGGTCTAGGGAGCAATTGCCCCCCCCCCCCCATGACGCCCCTGGTATGGGGATGATCCCTGTAGCAAACTCTCTATAAATCCAGAGCACGGAGTGAGAGGAGGCCATCGCTGCCTCTGTCGTCGTGAAGCAAAACGCGCAGGTATTCACACATTTACCCACTTCATTTTCTGTTGTTTTTCCATCTTGTTTTCTTTGTTTGCTTGTAAATTTCAGTATCTCTTTGTTTTAGCTTACTCATCTAGCTGTTTACTTACAGTTATATTATTTATTCATTCATGTATTAATTATTGAGTGATTTCTCATTCATCTGTTTATTTATTCTTTCTTGCTGTCGATATCTTTTTCTTATTCACTTTTTTCCTTCTAATATCTCCCGTACTCTTTTTTTTCCTATATCCGTTTCTTAGTCCTTTAAATTTATTTCGTTTTATCCATAATATAGTTTACATTTTCATCACTGTTGTATCTAAGGGTGACAGAGTATAAATGTATCGAGATATTTTAAGCAAAGTGTGTTCTCGTCTGCTTGAAGTGTGTAGATTTACCGAAGAATATTTTCAGATAATGTAATTCGTTAATAAAAAGTTTTAAGATAATTCTTTGTATCACTGATATACAGACGTCATCGCGAGACATTCAAGATAGAAATTGCCAGAATAATGAATCTAAGAATTATTAGACACAAGTCGACATTTTATTGTCTAGAAAAATATAAATCAGAATGAATAAGCTATGCATATATCGCGTATATTGACGTGTTTGGACTGAATGTTCATGAGAATTATGTCAGTTCAGTTTCTTTTATAATAAAATTATTAGTTTTCATTCCTACATTTTTCTACGTTTGTCCCTGTAACGAATTTAATCAAACACGAGTGAACTGCAGATGACTCCTTTGTTTACGACCATCGACCTGCATATATTTTTTTTTCTCTCTTTATGTCCCAGTAGACACTCTGACACACTACCGCCATGCATGGAGGTGTGGGAAACGAACTTACTCGAACACGGCTGAACTTCGGGTGTCTCATTCTCGGTTTATGTCCATCGACCTGTATAGATTTATTCCCCAGTAGACTTGCCCCAGTAGACTCACTTTCATATATAAACATCACACCTAAACGACCTTGTTCAAACGCGGTAAAATTACGAAGGTCTCGTTCTCTAAACGACCAGTGGCCCGTTTAAATTTCTAGCGTAGCATGACCGAAAAAAAAAAACACATTTCATACGAAAGTTTCACCAGCTAAAGCGTCTAACTTCCGTGCTGTCATTAATGCCTTTATTACAAATTGCAGTAGCGCTGTGTAATGATCGCGGGTTTATTGGCCTAATTAGTGTGCCTCATTAATGTGACAGACAAAGTGGGGACATCGATCATATTATGGACAAACTGGCGTATTGTGTATCTCTTCTATACCTATCTACTTGCATTATCTATCTACTATTTACACATCAACTTGTCTATTTACCTAACTATCTACCTATCTACCGTTATCTATCAGATATCTTTCTATCTACTGGTTTAGCTAACTATCCACCAAGCTATCTATCGCTTTAGCAATCTGCCTATCTGTCTAACTAACTTTACCCTATCTATCTGTCTGCTGATCTATGTAGCACTCAGTCTATGTAGTCAAATATCTATCTACCTATTTATCTGTCTACTCCAGTCTAGCTACCCATATATCCATCAGTCTGTCTGTTTCCATATCTATAACTTACCTTTCCTCGTCTGTATGCGTGTGTATCTGTGTGTGTCCGTTTATCTATCTCTCTTTTTCTTTCTCTCTTCTTCATTCCCTCTCATTCTCTTATCTCTCTCTCTCTCTCTCTCTCTCTCTCTCTCTCTCTCTTCTCTCTCTCTCTCTCTCTCTCTCTCTCTCTCTCCTCTCTCACTATCTATATACATATATAAACATATGTATATATATATATATACATATATATACATGTGTATATATGTGTGTGTACATATATACATGAATATGTGTGTATATATATGTGTGTGTGTGTGTGTGTGTGTGTGTTGTGTGTGTGTGTGTGTGTGGTGTGTGTGTGTGTGTGTGTGTGTGTGTGTGTGTGCGTGTGGGTGTGTGGGTGTATATGCGCGCTTGCGTGTGTGTGCGTGTGTGTATGCATGAGTGTGTGTGTGTGTGGTGTGTGTGTGTCTATATATACATATATATATATACATGTTTATATGTTTATATATATATATATATATATATATATATATATGGTGTGGGTGTCTGTGTGCCTGTGGTTCTGGATGAGGCGAGGCAGAAATCAGTAACCAGTCAATCAGCTGAGAGAGACATCGATTTTCATCCGCATGCTCCCTTGTGGCGACCCGGGTGATATATCCGCACATTAATAACTGCCCCACACAAGAAGCGAGCGATTAGAATTCCATATTTCAGTGGTCAGAAATCATTATGATTGATCAATGTGATCAAGTGTGAATGTATTTATTAAATGTGATAAAGTGAGACTGTAAAATGTCAGAATTGATTATGAAATACGGTACTGTTTCTATAGTCTGGATATTTGCATGTATAGAGGCATGTCTGTTTATCTTGAGGTTTATGTACAATTTTAGCCAGGCAGGAATTTCTGCATTGTTTTATTATATTTATTTTTTTATCGTGATCATTGTAAGTACTTGAGAACAGAAAAAATACCTCTAACTGCTTGGCGATTTTATTAAGTAACGTAATTTTTCACACCCTTTGGTTCTCTTTTCCCGAACTGTAACAGCGGCCTTCACACGGACCAGGACCACCTCTTCTGCAAGACCGCCGACGATAGGAAGAAAAATCCGTGAACTGAAGGTCTTAAATAAATAGCGTTTGTGCAGTCCCCTTCACCAACACCACCATTATTATTGAGTGAGCTGTCGAGTGCGCTAACACATCACTAGACGCGTGAAGTAA